TGTAAGGATTATTCCCCATCCCAGTGCTGCCTGGAGCCCCACCATGGTGGAGCTTTACAAAGAACTCATGGACAAGATGGTGTGTGGGTCATGGATGTGACTTTCAGGTTGGTGCTCTGTGCAGTTTCTTAAAGAGGCAGACCTTGCTAGGATTGTTAAAGCTGTCCCTGATAAGTTTGAACCTCTCTATCAGGAGTGCCTAACCTGGGCTGGAGGGGGGCTCTGAATAATGCAGAACTGTTGGCAAAACTTTGCTTATGTGTGGGCATTTTCCTCAAAGATGCTCTGTGCCCCAGAGCATTTCCCACCTCTCTGGTGTGGCTTGCATTAGCCTGAGAGCCAGGTACAAGTCCTGTGTACCTACCTCACCCTAGTTCTTAACCCTGTCTTGTTTCAGGGGCACATTCCTTTATTCATGCAACAACTATTAATTAAGCACATATCACACTTACTTGCATCAGTGTAAGAAATTACTCTAAGAAAAGAGGATCTACCAAGCACTGAGATGACTTATAATGAAAATTCTACCAAGACACAGATTATCAGGAAATTGCTACATGGTTACAAATTTAACTGGAATTTCAGTGTCTGGACATTCAGAATGAGGAGTTTGTCTTTTGTTATTAGTGACCTAACACAATAATGGAGCTCACAGGAGTCAGAATAAAGTCAGTTTGTGTCTAAAGCAGGAGAAAGAAGCAACCTTCTCATGTTTTTCAGGAGTTACACTTTTTGGAGGAGTGGTGTGTGAATCCTAAGCACCTATTTAAACATTTCAAGATAAAGCTGTTTGGATGCTTTCCTAAACTGAGTAGGCTGCCCTCCAGGCATTTATTTACAATATGGTCAATATAATGTGTGTCAATTTTGCAGAATGTATCATCTGTTATTGAAATTATATTGTTAACTTGGAAAAGAAAAGAAAAAATTGTTCTGAAATCAGAAATCAACCTTTTGTATACTATATAATGGGATCCAGCAGAATAGTCTATCTAAAGGTGATTTTTAGATTTTATACATATTATGTATCTTCATGGTAATGAAACCCTGTCTGTGCAAAAAGAAAAAAAAAAAGCCCCAACTAAATTCTGTTTATAGGAGAGAAACTAAGCATAAGAAAATGTTTTGAAGTAGAAGAGTATAGAGAAACACAATACACACACACTAATCCAGAGAAAGCTGGTGTGGCTATATTAATACTGACCTTTGCAAACTTTCAGACAAAGAGTATTGTTGGAGGAAAAGAAACATTTAATAATGATGAAAGAATTGGGCACCTGGCTGGCTCAGTCCAAGGAGCATGCGACTCTTGATTGAAATCATGAGTTTGAGCTCCATGTTGGGTGTAGAGATTACAAATAAATAAATAAATAAACTTAAAAAAATGATAAGAGTCAATTCAATAGAAAGATATACAAATCTTATATTTGCATGTACCTAATAACATAGTTTCAAGATATATACAGCAAAATTTAATGGGATTAAAATGAAAAATAGACAAACTCATAATCACAGTTCAAGATTTTAATATACTATTTGCAGTGACTCATAGAATAAGCAAACAGCAAAAATCAGCAAGAATAAAGAGCAATCTGATTAAACAGCTCCAACAACCACTCAATACACCCATTCTTTTCACGTGTACATGGAACATTTACCATAATAAACCGTATTTGGGGTCATAAAACAATTCTCAGTAAATTTCAAAAAACCAAATGCACACATATATATTCTCTGAGAGCGGTGGAGTTGAACTTGAAAGTAAAGCATAAAGAAATCCCCAAATGTTTGGAAATTTTTAAAAAAAGATTTTATTTATTTATTTGAGAGAGAAAGAGAGAGTGAGCAAGAGAGAAAGAGAAGGATCGGGGGAGGGGCGGAGGGAAAGGGAGAAGCAGATTCCCCACTGAGCATGGAGCCCAATGTGGGGCTGGACCCTGGGACTCCAGGATCATGACCTGAGCCAAAGGCAGACACTTAACCGAATGAGCTACCCAGGCGCCCCCCCACCTCCCAAATGTTTGGAAATTTTAAATTCATTTCTGAACAACTCATGATACAAAGAATTCACAGTGGATGGGATGCCTGGGTGGCTCAGTCGGTTAAGCGTCTGCCTTCGGCTCAGGCCATGATCCCAGGGTCCTGGGATCGAGTCCCATATTGGGCTCCTTGCTCAGTGGGGAGCCTGCTTCTCCCTCTGCCACTCCCCCTGCTTGTCCTCTCTCTCTGACAAATAAATAAATAAATAAAAATCTTTAAAAAAAAAAATTCACAGTGGAAAATAGAAAATAATTTAAATTGGAAATCAATGAAAATCAATTGTATGAAAATGTATGGGATGCAATATAAGCAACGCTGGAGGAAATTTTGTAGCTCTAAAGACGTCTTTCAAAAATGAACAAAGGTTGGTAATCAGTAATCTAAGATTCCATTTCAAGAAGCTGGAATAAAATAGAAATTAAACCTAAGGAAAGCAGGTAAGATAAAGATAAGAGCAGGGGCACCTGGGTGGCTCAGTCAGTTAAGCATCCAAACTCTTCCTTTTGGCTCAGGTCATGATCTCAGGGTCGTGAGGTCCAGCCCTGGCGGGGTGGGGGGAGCCCCTCAGGCTCCACGCTCAGTGGGGAGTCTGCTTGATTTCTCTCTCTTCCTCTCCCTCAGGACTCCCCCACTCGTTCTCTCTCTCTCAAATAAATAAATAAATCTTAAAAAAATAAGAGCAGAAATCAGTGTAAAGACAAAAACATAAAATCAACAAAGCCAAAAGCTGTTTTTTTGAAAAGATTAATAAAATTCGTAAACCTCATCAGACTGATCAGGAACAAAAAAGAGAGAAAATACAAATCACCAATGATTTGGTGTGAATTAGGAATGAAAAGGACATTACTTCATATTCTCATAAAAATGCTATAAGAAGTTATTAGGAACAACTTTATGCTAATTTGACAACTTAAACTGGGAAAATGCCTTTAAAATCACAACTTTCCAACACTGAGACAAGCCAAGACAGAAAATCTGAATAATCTATCTGCCAAAGAAACTGAATGCATAATTGGAAATCTTGCTACAGAGAAATCCCAGATGGCTTCACTAATGGATTTTACCAAACTTCTATGGGGGAAGTAACACCCAATATTTTGCACAAACTCTTTCAGAGAGTAGTGGCAAAAGGAATACTTTCCAACACATTTTTGGAGATCACATCTGACCAGGACATTTTTTAAATGTAATTAACATACAATATTATATTAGTTTCAGGTATACAATATAGGGATTCAACAATTCTGTATATTTCTCAGTGATCATACACAGTAAGTGTAGTCACCACCATCTGTCACCAAAAAACATTACTGACTGTATTTCCTATGCTGTGCTTTTCTTCTCCCTGACTGGTTTATTTTAACACTGGAGGTTTGTACCTCTTAATCCTCTAGTTCACCCATCCCCCCTCTGGCAACCACCAGTTCATTCTCCGTATTTAAGAATCTGGTTTTTTGTTTCTCTCTTTTTTTTTTTTGTTCATTTGTTCTGTTTCTTAAATTCCACATACAAGTGAAATTGCATGATATCTGTTTTTCTGTCTCTGACTTATTCACTTAGCGTAATACATCTGGTTCATCCATGTTATTGCAGATCTGACCAGGACATTTTATTTTATTTTATAATTTTATTTAATTTTTATTTAAATTCAATTAATTAACATTTTTTAAAAGATTTTATTTATTTATTTGTCACAGAGAGAGAACACAAGCAAAGGGAGCTGAAAGCAGAGGGAGAAGCAGACTCCCTGCTGAGCAAAGAGCCCGATGTGGGACTCAATCCCAGGACCCCGGGATCATGACCTGAGCTAAAGGCAGATGCTTAACCAACTGAGCCACACAGGTGTCCCCAATTAATTAACATTTAATGTATTATTAGTTTCAGAGGTAGAGGTTAGTGATTCATGAGTCTTATATAATACCTAGTGCTCATTACATCATGTGCCCTCCTTAATGTCCATCACCCAGTTACCCCATCCCCTCACCCTCCTCCCCTCCAGGAACCCTCAGTTTGTTTCCTATGATTAAGAGTCTCTTACGGTTTGTTTCCCTCTCTGAATTCGTCTTGTTTTATTTTTTCCTCTCTTCCCCTATGATCCTCTGTTTTGTTTCTTAAATTCCAAATATGAGTGAGATCATATGATAATTGTCCTTCTCTAATTGCCTTATTTCACTTAGCATAACACCCTCTAGTTCCATCCACGTCATTGCAACTGATTTCTGTACATTGATTTTATATCCTGCCACACTGCTGAATTCCTGTATGAGTTCTAGCAATTTTGGGGTGATTTCTCTTGGGTGTTCCACATAAAGTATCATATCATCCGCAAAGAATGAGAGTTTGACTTCTTTGCCGATTCGGATGCCTTTTTTTCTTTTTGTTGTCTGATTGCTGAGGCTAGGACTTCTAGTACTATGTTGAACAGCAGTGGTGATAGTGGACATCCCTGCATGTTTCACCAGGACATTTTAAAAGGAAAATTACAGGGCAATAGTTCTCATGAACACAGATATGAAAATTCTGAGAATCCAATTATTTATTAAAATGATCGTGAACAAGAGGTCATTTTTTTCCAGGGAAAATACAGGTTGATTTAAAATAAGAAAATCAGACAATGTAGTTCACCAAATTAACAGAATAATAGAGGAAAGCTATATGATCACCTTAATAGATGTGAAAAAGCGTTTGATAAAATTTAAATTGATATATGATAAAGAGACTACAAAAACTAAAAAACAAATCCCAAAGCTAACATTATACTTAATGGTGAGATATATAGACTATTTCCAGAAAAAGGTAACAAAATCTTTGAAAGTTGAGAATATTAATTTGCAATAGTCAGAGTTCATTAACTATCATGAAATATGCCTTGTGTCTGTAACCACATTTCTAAGAGTATCCCTTCATGTAGCCTCAGACTCCAGTGTAAATCATTTTTGTCTCCTAAAAGAAGCACCCTGTCACAAAATGTAGTCTGTGCTGGAGGAACGGGGGGGGTTCTGACAGGAGGAGGGGGATCTTTCCCAGCCCTCCCTAGGTATTTGTCTTCCTATGAAGAAGAGAATATGATTGGAAATCTTCCGGAATATTTCTGAGAGGTGTTTCTTGAACTTCTCACCCATGAAAGCATAGATCACAGGGTTCACACAGCAGTGAGTGAAGGAAATGGTTTCTGTGACGTGGGTGGCATAAATCAGCCGCTGGCTCAGGACACATCCATCCAAGATGTTCATGTTGAGCAGAGATGTGAGGAAGAGGACCACATTGAATGGGACCCAGAAGAGTAAAGATGCAATCACCACAATGAGCACCAACTTGATGGCCTTGGTCTTGTTGTGATTTTGGCAACTCTTCAGCTGGTGCAGGATGCTAATGTAGCAGAACATGAGGATGGTGAATGGGATCAACAGACCTAAGATATTCATTTCAAAGTGGATGGAGATCTTCCACTTCAGAGTCTGTTGATTGTAAGATGAATAACACTGTAGAATGCCATCTTCAGAGGCCACTTGGTACAGTACTAGTAATGGGCTGGTGGCCATGATGGCAATCAGCCACACGGCCAGACTGAGGGCTGTGCCCATCCTGGCTGTCCTCACTTTCATGGCATAGACAGCATGGACGATTGCCAGGTACCTGTCCACACTCATGAGGGTGATAAAGAACATGCTGCTGAAGAAGCCAATGTAATAAAAACCAGAGACCACCTTGCACATTACAGTCCCAAACACCCACTGGTCCAGCTGATAGTAGGTTTGGAAGGGGAAGGAGAAGACAAAAAGCAAGTCAGACAGGGCCAGGTTTAAGAGGTATATGTCGGTGATGCTCCTCAGCTTCTTGCAGGCGACAAGGACAAGGATGACCAGGCTGTTTCCCAGAAGACCAAATACGAACAAGACACAGTAAAAGACAGCAAGAAGCAACTTGTTATCTCTTTGGATAAGTTCCCCATCACAGGGGCTTGCGATGACATCAGGATAGTAGTAGTCGGTTACTGTGGTCACATTGGGCTCCAGTGTATAATCCATCAAGGCAGAAGGACCAGGTCAGAGAGGCACCTAAGAGAGATTCATTCCTTAAAAATATTTTTATTTAAAAATATAGACTGAATTCTAACTGCCTCCCCTCACCTCATTCATATTTTGAAGCCCTAAAGCCCTGTTACAGACTGAACATTTGTGTCCTCCCAAAATTCATGTTTTTAAAAAAAACATTTTATTTATTTATTTTGATGGAGAGAGAGATAGCAGAAGAGGGAACACAAGCAGGAGGAGTGGGAGAGGGAGAAGCAGGCCTCCCACTGAGCAGGGAGCCCAATGCGGGGATCGATCCCAGGACCCCGGGACCATGACCTGAGCCAAAGGCAGCTGCCTAATGACTGAGCCACCCAGGCACCCCTCAAAATTCATATGTTAAAGCCCTACCCCACCTTGTGAGGGTATTAAGCAGTGGGTTCTTTGGGAAGTAATTGAGTTAAATGAGGTCATGAGGGTAGAGCCCTCATGAATGGGATGAGTGCCCTTATAAGAATCACAGGAGAGCTTGCTTCTTCTCTTGGCTCTCAGCCATGTGAGGTTATAAGGAGAAGTCAGTGGTCTGCAACCTGGAAGAGGGTTCTCATCAGAGCCTGCTAGCACCCTGATTTTGGGCTTCCCAGCCTCTAGAATGGCGAGAATTACATTTCTGTTGCTTATAAACCACCCAGTCTCCGTTATTCTGGGATAGCAGCCCAAACTGGCCAAGACACCACCTAGGTCACTATATTTGGAGATGAGCCAGCAAGGAGGTAATTACAGTTAAATATATCATAAGGGTGGGGCCCCAATCCATAGGCCTGGTGTCCTTATAAGAAGAAGAGTCACCCGAGCATGCAAGCTCTCTCTCTCTCTTCCTCTCTCTGCACGCACAGGGAAAAGACCAGTGAGGACACAGCAAGAAGAGGGAGGGTTGCAAGCCAGGAAGAGAGGTCTTACCAGAAACCGGCCCTGTTGGCACCCTGATCTTGGACCTCTAGCCTCCAGGACCGTGACAAAATTAATTTCTGTTGTTTAAGCCACCAGTCCGGGGCACTTTGGTATGGCAGCCTGAGCTGACTGGTACAGATTATGATACTGAGAAGTGGGTGCTACTGTAACAAATACCTAAGTGGCTTTGGAAGCTGCTAATGGGTGGAGGCGGAAGGATCCTGAGGCGCATGCTAGAAAAAGCCGAGGTTGCCTGTTGGTGCCAATGTGGATGGTAAAGGTGATTATGCTGAGCGCTCCGGGAGACGAGAGGAGGCTGGAGAGAGAGCTTCCATCGTCTGAGAGATTACGGGTATCATTGTGAACAGAACGGGGGCGGAAATATGAATGTTAAAGGTGAGGTCTCAGGCAGAAATGAAGAACATGTTATTGGAAGTGGAGGAATCGGATCCTTGCTATAAATGGCAGAGAACTTGGCTGAATTGTGTTCTAGTGTTTTGAGGAAGATTGGGTATTTGTCTGGGGTATTCCTAAACCAAGGTTAAGAGGCAGCCTGGCTTCTCTGTGCCGATTATCGTAAAATGCTAGAGGAGAGAGGTAAGTTGAAGGAGTCGTTAACACAAAGAGGAATCCGAACTCGAAGATTTGGAAGTCTGTCCGTACCACAGAAATGAGGAAGTGTTTCTGGAGAGCACGCCTAAGGTGTGGCTGGAGCACCACTCCACACAGAGGGCACCCATGGAGTTCATCAGACGTTTCAACAGAAGCTAGGGGGAGAGACGCTGCCGGTTTGGTCCAAAGCTGCAGAGACGGGACAAAATAAACCCACGCGTTTGGACTTCTAGGATTCTATAGGTTGGGACAATAGAGCCATATGCCCGCGAGTACATTTTATCCTTCAAGAAAACGGAGGAATGACCCTGAAGATACAGAAATCATCAGGGCTAGCGCTGTGCGTACAGGTGCGAGGGGTAAGACTGTTTCCTCCCCTTTGGCAGGAGGAGGCCCACCCGCTCGGTGCCCTGGGGGCGGGGCCCCAGCCTGGGGTCCTCAGGTGACGCTGCCACCTAGTGGGGCCGGAGGGCAGAGCACCCAGACAAAGAAGATTCTTTTCTTCTTCTTTTTTTTTTTAAAGATTTTATTTATTTATTTGATAGAGAGAGACACAGCGAGAGAGGGAACACAAGCAGGGGGAGTGGGAGAGGGAGAAGCAGCCTTCCCGCTGAGCAGGGAGCCCGATGTGGGGCTCGATCCCAGGACCCTAGGGATCATGACCTGAACCGAAGGCAGACGCTTAACCGACTGAACCACCCAGGTGCCCCGAAGATTATTCTTGAGACTTACAACCTAATTGAATTTGCCTTGCTAGCTTTGGGGCTTGCCAGAGACCCACCACCCCTCCGTGCTTTCTGATTTGTTCCCTGCGGAATGGGAATGTCTGTCCTATGCCTGTCCCACTGCTGTATTTTCGAAGCGCGTAACTTGTCTGGTTTCACAGGCTCACAGCTGGAGAGGAGTTCAGCCTCAGGATGAATCATACCTCAGGTCTCACTCATACCTGATTTCGATGATACCCAGGTGAGACTTTGGATCTAGAACTGATGCTGGAATGGGTTAAGACTTTGGGAGCTGTTGAAATGGAGTGCATGTACTTTGTACTTGAGGACATGAATTTTGGGAAGCCAGAGGGCAGGATGTTAAAGACAATTGTGTGCCCATATATTGAAGCCCCAATTCCTATTGTGATGGTATTTGGCGATAGAGCTTCAGGAGGTAATTGAGGTTAAATGATGTTGTAAGGGTGAGGTCCTGATCTGATTGGACTGGTGTCCTTATAAGGAGAGGAGGAGATACCAAAGACCTCTCTCTCTCTCTCAGTACATGCCCAGAGAAAAGGTCCTAGGGGGTCAAATTGAGAAGGTGACTGTCTGCAAGCCAGGAAGGGGCCCTTATCAGGAACCCAATATATCAGCATCTTGACCTTAGACTTGTAGCCTCCAGAACCATGAGAAAATACATTTCTGCCATTTGAGTCACCCAGCCTGTGGTATATTGCTATGGCAGCCAAAACAGATGAAGGAGTCCAGGGGTGGGGGAAGGAGCATATGGAAACTGTATTTTCCATCCAAATTTCCTGTAAACCTAAAGCTTCTCTAAACAATAAGGTCTATTAACATGTTTTAAAAATTGAAAACTGCCCCAGCTGACCAATACAGGGGGGATTGGGTGGCATAAGAAAAGCCAAAATTTATGAAGACAATTTAAATACCTATCGTTCCACGACCCAGAATTAGCAATTGCTAACATATTGTCAGATTTGCTTTTAGTTCTTTTTTCTTTCTTTCCCTCTTTTCCTGCCTTTCTAATGCAATACAGCTGAAGCCAGAGCTCTCTTTAACTACACAACCGATTCCCAGACCCCGGAAGCAACTACTGAAACCAGTCTGGTATGGTTCATTCCAAAGTTTCCCCTGTCCTTTTACATTCTTCAGTGTACCCCTAAATAATATATAATATTGTTTTGTGCTCACTTTTGACTCACACAAATGGTTGTCATGTCTCTCATTTTGTATCTTACTTTTCTTCTCCCCGCACTGTTGTTTTAGAAATACAGCCACGCTCTTCTAAAGAGTTCAGTTCATTCTTTTCACTGCTTTTATAAGCACCATAAATAACTATTTTAAAAATGCAATAGAAAAAAAAAACTATCCCAATCATACTAGCAACAAAAATTGCTAAGATTTCTAAAAACAAATGTGATAAAAACAGCAGCTCAGTTATGTAAAATATTATGAAACTTTGTTGAAGGTCATCAAAGAGGACACGATTAAAAAGGAAACGTATGCTGTATTTATGTGAGGGAAGACTCAACAATTACAACATGATAATTCTCAGATTGATATTCACATTCAAGATGCTTTCAATTTGGACATTATTTTTCCAAGGTGTTTGGCTTCTGAACATTCAGACACCCCTGTCCACTAAGCCACCTTTCTTTCTATATTTTGAAATGCCTAGCAAGTTAGCCATTTTTAAAGATATTAATTTTATTTAAGTATGTACCCAAAGTGGGTTTAAAAACATAGTTTCTGAAGTATGGAGGTGGGTCTTTTTTTTTTTTTTGTAGCTAGTATCTCTCAAAATAATAGTCTCTCCTCCTACATCTTCCTTCCCACTTGTCTAACAGTTGTTTAAAAAAAAATAATTTTCTGTTTGCCTTCCTTCTATTCGGCTCTCCTAATAACCTAGAATAAGGGGAAGTCCTCAACTTATTCCTTCCCCAGATCCTTCCTGCTAAACCCTAATCCATTCTTCCCCCATGCTCTCTCATCAGTAAAATCTATGTGAAGTATTAAGAATGTCCATCATTTATTACAGTGGACAAGGTGTTTATATGCATTCTTTCGTTCATTTCTCTTGAATCCCTGTGAAGCAGGCCCTCATACCTCCTGTTTCTGGAGTTAGGGTTGTATCTGAGTCTCAGAGATCATCAGTCCACTGACTAAAGTTACAGAGAGGGAGGCCATAGAGCCAGGACTCAAAACTACATCTACTCTGAATGCTTTTTCCTCTTCCATATTTAGCTATTTTGTGGGTAGAGGAAAAACACTCCAGTCTTTTAGAAGTTAGGCCACCTGACTTTCAAGTTCTAGACTATCTTGTAGCTGAGTAACGGTTTGTCTGATAGAAGCCTTGTAACCAGCACAAAGATGCCTGGTGATAAGAAGTATTTTCTTCCCACTCTTATAGGAGCTTTGACTCCCTCCTAGCATCCTGCAGAGAAAATGGCATGGCTTGCCTCCCTCAGTCAGAGCCATGGACAGCCACTAAGACATCTGCAGGTTTGTGGACTCAGGACATGCAAAGATAAAAAAAAAAAAATTCACCTCTTCCGCCAGACTTCTGAAATATTTGCCTTCCCTTTGCTTTTTTCCCAGGGACATAAAAGTGTCCCTCCCTACTTCTATCCTTCTTCCCCAAGGACACTCATTAATACATACCTTAATTAGAGCCTTTGTTCTGGAGATTTCAGTGTTGCTAATTCCTTCTTTTCAGAACCTGCCCTCTGTGC